GTCTTGAATTTATTGACTTTGACTTGAATTTATATGAATTATCTTAAGACACAAAATTTGTTTAATATTTTATGCAGCACAGTAGGAAAAAAAAGAGTCAGAGAAAATAAAAATGTTGTACAAAAATTTTATTTCTTATTTCTATTCGTCTTGTCAGGATACAATTCGTTTAACAATGACAACACAATAGGAAAAAAGTGTTGCAGAGAGAAAAAAATAATGTAGGTTGTACAAAAATAGCCTATTAGCTATTTTTATTCGTCTTGTCAAAATACTAAATTTGTTTGACATTCCTCTGTTAACACAGTAGGAAAAGTGTCGCAGAGAAAAATAAATAAATACGACATCGTTCATTTAAAATGATAGGCCAAGCAAAATATAAACAAAACCGAGTTGAACATCCTTAAAGGACAGCGCATCCACACTTTGCTCCATCCTTATTCTGCTCTGTCACTCATCGACAACCTGCCTGTTCTCTCTGAAGGCCTTGTATTTCCCACCGGTACTGCCTGCTCTGAGCATCATTATGCACATGCTGCACATAGATCCCACAAATAAAACGCGTGACGCAGAAAGCATGCGTGCAAGCATGTGCATAACAGTCCGAGTGCAGGCTGTACCGGTGGTCAATAAGAATAAAGCTCCGATATGATGTTCTGAATGGACGTCAGGAACGGGATATTATTAGACCGCCCGCTCCCTTTCAAATTACAGCAGAGTTACCGACTACTACCGCGTTTTATATTTAGGAATTTAATACCACGGCGCAAAAAATCTGGTCAGTTCCCGCGGGAATGCAGACCTCTAGTTTGTAGTCTCGTCAAACTTGTTCAGATCTTAACAAGTGTCAGCATGTTACGGGAAAGGCACGTGCTTTACTGTAGTTTCCAGTGACCTGTTCAGAATCAGTTCTCTCATTGATCTGTTGACCACATTTTCAGACGTCTGGAAAACAGGTGAAAGAGCAGCAATCTTATCAGCGCATTTGGACTTACGACATCAGGATGCTTTCAACATGAGGTCTTCACAGGCCGGATTCAGACTGTTGGCTGTCAGACTCAGATGGAGCGCTGCTCAACATGCGTTTCGAATACGCCATGCCAGGAAATCACAAGATCTGTCCCGTGTGGCAGCAGGCCTAATTGAACGTAAATAAAGACGGGCTCTGTAATATGGATCATTTGCAATCTGATGCGTTTATTAGAGCTTGGCTGTCACAAGCTCGTAACGTTTTCTGTCATGTGCTGTTTGTTTTCATGACTCGGTATTAGCATTGAGTTCAGAAGAACAGCAGCGGGGTGGATGTCCCGGCCATCTGTCCCAAAGCCTAGAGACCCTAGTCTGACGTCTACAGGCAAGACGATAGGAACCTTTCAACGATTGCCAAAGGCAATGCATTAACATTCGCGAGTTATTAAATCCATTTAACATGCTTGAATTTATGCATCTCAATAATCTAATTTGACATCCCAACTGTTTGATTCTGTTTAGTGTGATCAAGTGTGCCAGTAACAATTGCAGAAGTTGGATTTTTCCCATGGGGATTTTTTAAAAACCTTCGTGTAGGATATATTTTAGTCTACCCCAATGCACAATATTGTTCTGTTTATTATAAATGTGCACTGCAGTTTTGTTGTCCCCTTTGAATGCTTGAGCTCTTGAAAGCGAAATGTTTTCTGATTGGCTGTCAATGATTTTATCGATCAAAAATATTTCTGAAAGTGATTCCAATGATATTCGTCATTGTCGTTATCATTATAGTCATGGTGTGGTATAGTTATATGCAGTCCAAGAATTAGAACGAGTATTGAATTTTGTGAATAGGCCTTTAAAAGCCATGAACCAAATCAACCAGCTGCAAAATGAAAAACAAAAAGTAGAGACTGGCTTGCATCATTTGCCGTCCTTAATGGGAGTGGGCGGCACTAAAGTGTGCTTTTGGTGATATTTGTTTGTCAAAATTCTATGATTGGTGGAAATTTATTTAGAGGGTAATGTAGTTTTTCACCAACCAGGAATTCTGCCGAGTGCTTACTTTTCTTGAGTTATCAGAAGTGAAATGATGTCAAAGATGATATGCTCATGACTGACCTCACTTTCAGCTGGTTTGACACAGAACTTGGTTTGTTACGAAACCCAGCGTGTGACTTTCTCTCCCCTATCACCCTTATATGCTGTATTTGTTTTCCATTGGAAAAGACAGAGTCCGTCCTGCTGTCACAATTAACATAACCTTGGTTCTGACATTAATCCACACTGAACAGCCCTTGTTTGTGTATGTTTCATTGCATTCTTTGTGCAATATATTAGTAAATGTAACTACAAATGACCAGCGGATTAAACTTTAAATGCAGACACCAGCTCATATTAACCCCACTTAATTGGATTGCATACTTTAAGCATCATTATCTTAGTATCATTGAGATACTAATATGAATGTTGTATTTTTTTATTATTCTTTTGTTGTGTTTTTGCTTATTGTATTTTAATATTTTATACATTTTTATTTCCGCTTTAGATCAGTATTTTGTTTTATGGGGCTTTTTAGACTGGAAAAAGGGGAAAGCATTTCAAACATCAACATTTCTTTTGTTTTTCACAGATGAAAGAAAAACTATTCTTTAATATTTGAAATATACAGTACTGGCTGGCGATTTTACACCGTTTCCTCAGGAAGAACTTGTTACAGTTGGCACATTTTGCTTCAGAGAGACAGCTTGAACTGACTGACCTCTGTTTGTCCATTGTCAAGTCGTTTCATGGCTAAACTCACTGTAGGAGGAATATAGATGTGTCTGTGTTGAGTCAGCGGCAGCATGCCAGAGCACAGCATGCACAGTCTTGGAGGTCCACAAATGTTTTAATGTAGAGCTCTGTTTTCAGTTACTCACAGCAAAGCTTTCGTGCAGTTGCATAATTCGCTAAGTCACACCTATAGGCACAGCGCTGTTTTATGGTATTGAGCTGCAGTTGCTGATGTGTGTCGATGTGTTTTCTCTGCATTCTCTCATAGGTTACCAGGACCGGTCTTTCCTGTCTGATTATTTCCAAAACCGTTCTCTTTACTTTCAGAAGAAAGCATGAGCAAGAGTCATTGTTTGTTTTGAATTTTGATTTTTAAATATGCTAGTTCAGCTATGTAATTCTCTATGAAATCTGAATTCTATAAGCCATTTCTTAAGTAGTTCACCTAAAAATGACGATACTGTTATAATTTACTCACCCTCATGTTGTTCCAAATTTCTGTAACTTGCTTTCTTCTGTACAATGCAAAAGACTCGCATGCAATGCGATGATGTGGACTATTTTGTCCATTGCCCATAAAGACCCCATGTGATCAATAATAGATCTTGGGGTCATCCGTATGCTGGTATACCCCTAAAAAATTTCACTTTTAAAATACACATCATTTTGTCTCCTTACAGGTGGAGTTTCAGTATGCAGCTGTACTGAGGATGCTGGCTGTCTTCGCTTTGCTCATGATGGCTACGACCGGTGAAGCGGAGTTCTGCCAAGGCTCTGAGAACTGCTCCAGCCCCAATGGCTCAAAGGACTTTTGCTTTTCGGCCCGGATCCGCAGCACCGTGCTCCAGGGCCTGCCCTTCGGAGGAGTGCCCACCGTACTTGCCCTTGACTTCATGTGCTTCTTGGTGCGCATCACAAGTTTACAATTTTCAGTTGATGTTTATTTGCCACGAGTTTGTCATTCAAAGTCAACATGGAATCAGTCTTTATTCTCTTTACTTTCTTAAAAGGTGGGGTAAGCGATTTCTGGTAGCAAATGTTGACATTTGAAATCACCATAGATACTGTATATATACATATCTATGGTCTACACTGGATGCAGCACGACACTACAAATCCCCGACAGAAAACTGCTGCTGCGTTCTATTTATGATGTATTGACACAAATTTCAAATGATTTTCAACGGTCGCTTTGTCGCATCCAGTGTACTAGACAGACTTTAGCTGTTGTGGCGCAGACACTGTGTTACTCGCCTATCAAGAAGAAACAAAGTAACCTCGGTGTCCGATCACAGTCCTTCCGCTCCTTGAGTTCTCTCCAGCGCTGGAAAGCTGATCCGATATTTACTAGGGATGCTCCGATCTGCCTTTTTCGCCTCCGATACCGATACCGATTCCGATACGTTATGCCATTTTACAAACATATATAATGTTTGTAAAATGGTACAGCTTTTTAAATATCTGAAAGTACACTCTTAATATCAGTCAGTCAAGCATTATAATATGATAATGAAGTATTATTTAATAATAGAAGTTTAGTAATTAGAATTAAAACTTGGTAACCATGAACTTAGGACTGGTGCTGGTGCTTTTTTTGGTCATTCAGTGTTCCTGTAAAAAGAACGAACAATAATACTGATAAGATATTATTATTAGTAGTATTATTATACGAATTCTACTAATAAGAACAATATAAAAACGCACTAAGGATTAATGAGCTACTGGATTCATGAATATTAATCAGGTTGTGTGCGTTTGCTCGAACTGATTCGCTGAAATCAAAACAGGGACGATAATAGGTGAGCACCAGCCAATGAGATTGTCGTTTGCGCATTAGTTCCGCCTACTACAGGAAAACCCGGCAGTTCTTAAAAGCTGAAGAATTCCAAAGGAACTCCGTTATTTTGACAGGAAAATACAACAAAGTATATCGTTTACATGTAGCGCATCGATTCTGCATGTTATGTAAGACTCTCGCTCTTTGCTCACAGTGAGAGAAAGCGACCCTCTGGTAAAAGGATTTGCATATGAATGCATGTGTGGAATGAGATGTGAATTTGATTGTGTAACATGGATATTCTGTGTCTCCAGGTGCTGCTATGTGTGTTCTCTGTCTTGAGGAAGGTGGCGTTTGATTATGGCCGTCTTGCGTTGGTCTCTGATGCCGACAGGTAAAAATTAATAGTAGATTTTTCTAATACTCTATTTTAAATGAAAATGAATTGACCATTTCGCACATAGACCTCTTCTGTGATTACTGTATTGTGCAATAATTCTAATTTGCATTACCGTAATATTAAAAAAGTAATTTTTATTCATGTACAATAAAAAAAAAACTATAAAACTGTCACGACTGCACTGTTACGGCCATATTCCCAGCGTGTCATACTGCGGCCTCAGTTGGCTGCATTATCACAGCATGCTCTTGGCCCCAATATAACCCCAAACAAACACTCATCTTTCTTGCACTGAGTAACATTTTGTGAAATCGTCAGACTATATATACTCCATTCATCAGTCATGGTTTGGACAAGACCTCTGATTAGGCGAAATAAAAGAGAAAATGCGTTTCTTGCATTTAACACTGCAAGCCAACAGCATGATCTCAGCAGCTGCGTAATGGGTTTAGCTAATGGATTGGTTGTACAGATCTGAAGCTTCTACCTTTCCAAAAGCTCAGCCAGTCTTATTTGATTAGTAATATGACTATGCCTTTCAATCACACTCACATCCTTCGATTTGAAAACTGGTTTGACCGGCATGTAAGTGCACAAGAGATTATGTTTAAGAGAGATCTGATTAATATTCCGGGCATCTCAAACATAATTTTTGTCCTGTCAGATCCAACAGTCACATTTTTACTAGGCAGATGTCAAAAGCTGCTCTTGATGTTTCAGGCTAGCACGTCTATTTAAAAAAAAAAAGGAATGATTCAGCTCAAGTCAGATCCACTCACTATATTTTAAGACGAAGTCTTGGGTGGCATCTAGCCATTTTTAAGGAGGTATCAACCCTTAAATAAATGTAATGGGTTTTTGTGTGTACGCACCCAAAATGTATCGATCTGTTTTGAACATATACCTCTATTAACATTTCCCTGAATTACAACACGTACATTATGACTTCTCAGTTCTCTATTTAAATGTCATAAAATTTCAGAGTGAAACCCTGAAAAGTCTGATCATGAAGCAGAGTGCCTGTTACAACTTGGCAGTGCATTACATTTTTAATGAATAATTCAACAGTTAAATACTGCACTTCTACCATTGTTATTACATGAGTTTGTCCCAAGGCATTTTCCTAGTTTTCATGCCTAAAACATGCTTTGTCGACCTGTTTTCTTATGTCACATATTAATCCTGCTTACAAACAGGTCAAGCTGACATTACTAGTTTAAAAGTGTGAAGTTTGTGGTGAAGTAATGTGGAACTGTAAAGCTGTCAACAAACCTGGAGCTAAAAAGGTTTGATTTAATTACATGTAATAACTTGCAGTCAAAGGAAATGTTGAATTACTAGTGTCATTGCATCTCAGTTGAGTAATAGTATGTTAGTTCATATTTTGACTAATTCCTGTTAAGCATGAACTTGAAGAATTTTTTTCCCTCAGCCGTAGGTGGAATCAGCACTATCAACGTCTGGACGAGCAGGAATAGTATGTGTTGTTTTAAACTTCATCTCTCTCTTTCAAGGACGCCTTGTGTCTGCTTTTTGAATTTACCCTCTGGCATTTCTTCTGCTGTGTGCTCTATCGGGAGAATTTGGGGTGAATTTGTCCACTGTGTACTGTTTCTAACTCATTTTACCTCTTTCTATTGTCCTTTTTTAAAACGACTTCCTTCCTAGAGGCCATTGGTTGAGGGTTTCTCAAGATACTCATCACATTTACCTGAACTAATCCATATAATTGTGTTTCTTATGGAGTGGTGTCTTTTAAAGGTGAATTGTGTAATTTCTGCACCAAGCGAAATTGTACAAGTTTCCAAACAGACTTCCTAAACTCTCCTACCACATTTTCTGCAGCTAAACAGATACTCCCAAACTCACAGCACAAGTTGGACCTCTCTAAAACAAACGGAGCAATGTTTTGCAAGTGTTAAACTCTTCAGAAAGTCAAACTACACATGGTTTACTTATAGTTTCTCTGCATGTTAAGCTGCACAAACTACACACTTCACCATTAAATAATATGTTTTCGTTCCATTAAGCGTGCACTTTCTGGCCAGGGTCTAGGTCGCACAGGGAAGAGGCGTACAGGGAGAGGTAAAACATCCTGTGGTGGCATAGAAAACCCCTGTGTAACTAGAAGACCTAGTTTTGATGGATACCTGTGATATGTCCAGTGACTGTTTTTGTCAATTGACAAATGGATAGGATTGATACTTATTCCAAGTGCCCTGTAAAAGTGGTCCTATAGAATCAGTCCGAATATTTGTGAATATTGTAGCCTGAGAATAACACATACATTGGCCCCAATAAAACATGTATGTATGCAAATGCTTTAGATGGCAAACTATCAAACGAAATGGCATTGACAATTTGATTTTAAAGAGAGCACAAGCACACTTTTAAAGGCGTCATATGATGTTGCTAAAAAGAACATTATTTTGTGTATTTGGTGTAATGAAATGTGTTTATGCGGTTTAAGGTTAAAAAAACACATTATTTTCCACATACTGTACATTGTTTCTCCTCTATGCCAAGCCTTTCTGAAATGCGTCGATTTTTACAAAGCTCATTGGTCTGAATTTCGTCCACGGTGAAAGCCGATCCGGTGATCCACAGCGCGAAGTTTGTAGTATTCCCTGAGCAACCAGCACGGCTCAGCTCCAGGCATGACGAAGCGGATATGGTCCTCTTTTGGAAGACCAAACAAAGTAGTTTCGCTTTCACAACGAAACACAGCGTCACACGCGACGGTGGCCTAGAGTGAGAGGAGGCCGGTGAGCTTGAGAATGGCGTGGCCGGTAGATTCGACAAAGGAGCGACCGGCGGGCTTGCGGCAACCAAATGTGGCGACCCCGGGCTGGACTCCGCTTCGTCCACGGTGAAAGCCGATCCGGTGATCCACAGCGCGAAGTTTGTAGTAATGTGACGACCCCGGGCTGGACTCCGCTTCATCCACGGTGAAAGCCGATCCGGTGATCCACAGCGCGAAGTTTGTAGTATTCCCTGAGCGACCAGCACGGCTCAGCTCCAGGCATGACGAAGCGGATATGGTCCTCTTTTTGGAAGACCAAACAAAGTAGTTTCGCTTTCACAACGAAACACACAGCGCCTTCACGACATGGCGGCGGCGGCAACAATACTACAGCGAGAATAAAAGTTACGCCTTCATTCTTTGCGTGAACATTTGGGCGCCGTTATGTAAATCTTCCCACATCGTGACGTAGACATGTGGGGGCGTGTTAGAACGAGCCGTTTTAGGTAAGCGTGGTTGACTCTTAACTTTTATAAAGAATATCTCTTTGGATTTGAGACTTTAGTCTTTGCAACTTTACAGATATTCTTTATGCACCAAGAGCTTGTAACACTTCAAAGAGAAAGGAAAACTTGAAATCGCATCATATGACCCCTTTAAGCTAAATGCAGTTGATATTTTGTTATGTAAGGCACTGAAGTTCATACTATGCTTTTGGAGGCCCCTGTATTATCCAGTAGAATTAAAGTAGTGTCTCTGTTCAGTTCTTGATGAGTCTTTCTCTGTTTAACACATTCTGGCTCTAATTAACTCTAAGGCTGATGATACACGGGGCAACTTTTTGAGCAATGTTGCCGTCAATGGGCAACTGGGTGAGACACAGGGCCAACGACCGATTTAAAGTATCCAGATAGAAATTTGTCACCCATTCTCAATGGAAAAGTTGCCTGGCAAAATTGCTCAAAATGTTGCCCCGTGTATCATCAGCCTAAATGTATGCTTTTTCTCTCTGCATGTTCTTCTCCTTTCTAGGTTTACTGCAGTCTCTTTGTGAACAGTTTGTGTGCAACGCCTCTCATCAACTGCTAATGCTAACTCTGTGTTTGAGTTTTTCGCACAGTCACTTTTTGCTGCATGCCTGACATGTGGTCAGCCTTGATATGGCCTGATGTAGCTGGAGTAATCCGAGCTTGGAAGGCCTAGCAGTGCCCATCATTTATTAATAAGCTGACATTGAATGGGCCCTGTGATGCTAAGATAAAGTGAACAATTATTAAAAGATTAGTTCATCCAGAAGTAAATTTTTTGTCATTTTCCAAAATTTATAATCCTGATTGTAATTACTGCTGAATGAAGTGGCATGCCATTAAGTGACTGTACACTTCTGTATTAGCTTGTGTGCTGTGCTCTGAGGGCATGTGTTTGATAATGTGTGTGTTTGTGTTCAGTGTGGCCTCCGCCATGCAGACGCCTGCTGACTCCCGATACGAGCGTCTCACCTCTGTGTCCAGCTCGGTCGACTTTGACCAAAGGGACAACGTAAGTAGCTTGCAAGGTCATTAATGTGGATGCCTATGGAATGGAATAGGAGCATCTTTTCATTTTACACTGTATTCTCCCTCCAATGTTAAAACATGTATGTAAAACAGCATTTAGTATGCAACAGTAAACAACTGTAATTTGTTAAATAGTAACTTCTAGACACATTTGAGTTGTGCATTTAGATAATATTCAACATACAGCATCAAAAACATTAGATATTCAGTGCACATTACTAAATAGTAAAATGATCCTGTGTTAATGCCCATTCACACCAAGAACTATAACTAAAACGATAACTCTATTAGTGTCCACACTAACACATAACATCATGCTTCAGTTATGTCACCTGTCACTTTAAATCTTCAAGCACTTTAAAGCTAAGTGGATTCTGATTCACTGTAAATATTTTTATCATTCATCAGTTACTGTAGAAAAATGAGTTCTGAAAGTGATTCTAATGATATTGTTCCTGTGTCCTTATTAGGGTTATTATCATTAATTAAAACTAAATAAAAAGCAGTTTTATTTCAGTTAACGGTTTATTTCAGCTAGTTGCCAAAGCATCATTTCTCATTTTCTTTTAGTTTAACTTAAAGTACTAAAATAACTAAAACCGAATTAAAAATCATGAAAACTGGAATAAAAATTGTTAAGACTAGTATGGACATATTTATTTAAAAAAAAAAAAAAAGATAAAACACTTACAAAATTACAAAAGTACTAATTACTCAAATCAAAATGGAAAATCAAAAATAAAAACGAATTCAAAATATTTATTCCAACTATAATAGTATATCAATAATACGGAAATAACACTGGCTTATTTTTATAGTTATGTAAAAGGGTGTGAACTTCCCTATTCACATAGAATTAGAATGACTATTAAAGCTTTATAGTTATAGAGATTATAACTATTATCATCCTTGTTGTGTACAGACCTTAAGGCTATATCTGCAGCACTTGACAAGTCGAGGGGTGCAAACACTGGCATGAGTCGTTTGAAAAGGAGATCAACCTCTAAATAGAAGATAAACTTGAGTGCATTAGATCATCCAGGTTTCTGTCCATATAGAAAATATGCATATTGTTCACAGTATACATACATACTACAAAAGTAGTAAAGGTGCTGTAAAAGTTTGCCATTCTGAACATACCCTTTGTCTTCCTTGCTCACATATTCACTCATGTTCACACAGTTTGAAAAGCCTACGCAGGAAGTATTTCTTGTCATCTACTATAGCTCTATCCCCCCCTTGATGCACACACACCTGTGGATTTCATAATAGCACACACAACACCTTTTGACAGCCATTTGTTTGCCTAACCCCCTCCCCTGCTGTGATCTGGAATAACTGCACTTATGTAAACCGGTGTCACGTGCACCCACACAGCTTCTAACAACTCCTCAAACTGCATTAGAGACTGTTGATGTCTCTGAATGTGGAGGTGGCTGACAGACAACGGTTAGAGTGCATTGAATGTGATGTTCTTTTCTTTGTCTCTGTAATAGGGCTTCTGTGCCTGGCTAACTGCCATCTTCAGGATAAAGTGAGTCATTTCTGCTTTTCCTTAATGAACATACTGTAACTACTGAAATTTCCAGAAAGACTTGCTGATTATCACAAAACCCCAGTACATTATAACCACATTTATATGTCAGCAATTCCCAGAGTCCTTTTCAAATTAGAAGGAATGAGGAAGAAAAATTTCAGTTTCAGTTATAAGAAGATTATCATATATTGTTTTGTTATATTATATTATACAATATTCTCTCTGTTATGCACTGTAATCAGATTTTCGTCAAATATTTATAGTTTATATTGTGAACTAAATATCGTGCTTGTTTAATAAAATACTACTAATACATAATGATAAATGTAAAAAGCAAATACATTACTGTTGGGTTTAAATTTAAAGGGGTCATATGATGCTTTTTTTAAAGATCATTATTTTGTGTATTTGGTGTAACAGAATATGTTGACATGCTTTAATGTTCAAAAAGCGCATTATTTTTCAAATACTGTACATTGTAGATATGTCTTCAGGGATCTTATCTATGCACAATCAGCTTGTAACACTCCAAAGAGAAAGGAAAACTTGAAATCGCATCATATGACCCCTTTAAGGTATATTGCTTCATGAAAATGGTATTTACCCATGAAGTCTGAATGAAATGGCATCAGGCTAAAAATGTTAATGTTATGCTGACATGCCTCTCTCACCCTTACAGAGATGACGAGATCAGGGAGAAGTGTGGTGAGGATTCCGTGCACTACCTCTCATTCCAGCGGCACATCATTGGTCTGTTGGTAGTGGTGGGCGTGCTCTCCGTGGGCATTGTCCTGCCCGTCAACTTCTCAGGAGACCTATTAGGTGAGTCAAAAAAGTTTGAGAAAGAGTCATCTAGGATTACACATCTGAACGCAGCCATTTGAGTTTGGCTTCCTGTCGTTTATATGACTAAAGACTCCCTATGATCTTCTCTTCCTGCAGAAGATAATGCCTATAGTTTTGGGCGAACTACAATAGCCAACTTAAAATCTGGGTAAGCCCCGGGTAATATCTGTGACACTGATATTACTCTTGAACGACTGTTGATGAATGAATCATCCCTTTGTTTTCACTCTCTTTCAGTAATAACCTGCTGTGGCTGCACACTACATTTGCCTTCTTCTATCTGTTACTGACTGTGTACAGCATGAGAAGACACACATCAAAGATGCACTACAAAGAGGACGACTTGGTGAGCAGAGACAACTTCACCAAAACACTGCACAGAAATGTTCTGAGTTCAGTAAAAGTTCCTATCTACAGCATATTTGGCATAATGTCCTTTACCACATAAAATAATCAAAGCTTATAATATGAGCATCACATTTCTGATTTTAAGCCCTCCAGAATGCTGGGCCATTTTAAAGGGGTCATATGATGCGATTTCAAGTTTTCCTTTCTCTTTGGAGTGTTACAAGCTGTTCGTGAATAGATAAGATCCCTAAAGTTGCAAAGACTAAAGTCTCAAACCCAAAGAGATATTCCTTATAAAAGTTAAGACTGGTCCACGCCCTCCTAAAACGCCTCATTTAAACGCGCCCCCACATGTCTATGTCACTGTGTGGGAAGATTTGCATAACACCGCCCAAATGTTCACGCAAAGAAAGAAGGCGTAACTTTATTGTTGCTGCCACCGCCGCCGCCATGTCGTGGCGATGCTGTGTGATTCGTTGCGAAAGTGAAACTACTTTGTTTGGCCTTCCAAAAGAGGACACGACTAGAAATCAGTGGTTAAGTTGTATTTACAACACTGTTCCAGAACACTTCAACCCAAATATTCAGATGTGTGCAGCACATTTTATGGAGGACTGTTTCCTGATCCTGGGAGAGTAGACTACAATGCCGGCTGTTCTGACTCACAGACTGGAAGTACGTTTTCATATTTAAAGGATTTGCCACTGACGATTCAAACGCGAGTTTTGAGCAGTGTAGAGCAGCGCTTGTTGTTTGTCATTTCTCCGATCACAAATGCAGATATTTATTTATGTTTATGCGGCGCGATGCAACGCAACGCGTAAAAAGACAGTGTAAGTCATTATAATCCGTAATTATGTCCCCACTGGATGCAACAGATCCCTCGTTTATAATGGGTTTTAATGGTTTTGTCTCATCGCTCCGGGACACGGCATCACAGTATGGTGAGGGGCGTAACATTTCCGTCACATGCTTGAGGTATTCGGCCAATCACAATGCACTGGATAGCTGGCCAATCAGAGCACACCTCGCTTTTCAGACCGATGAGCTTTGTAAAAATCGATGCGTTTCAGAAAGGCGGGGGATAGAGGAGAAACAATAATGTACAGTATGTGGAAAATAATGTGTTTTTTTAACCTTAAACCGCATAAACACATTACACTAAATACACAAAATAATGTTCTTTTTAGCAACATCATATGACCCCTTTAAGGTCGGGTCTTGGTTTTATCCACTGGGAAATTGAAAGGGGGGTTGAAAAATAAGAGGTTGGTGATGGTGAAGTTGTTCCAGAGGCATGTTACATTTCGATGAAAGATTACAAAGAAATACAATTACAATGTGCACAGATGAATCATCAAACAATGTAAACCTGGACAGTTATTTAATACATTTTAACACTGCAAACTGTCTCTTCACAGGCTAATTTTTTGCGTCAAATGATATATGTCTCTCCTGACTAAGGTCCATAACTTAACTCTGATGTCTCCAAATTGTCTCTGTTCACAGGTAAAACGCACTTTATTCATTAACGAGATCGCAAAATATGCAGAAGAGAGTCAAATAAAGCAGCATTTCGAGTAAGTTCTTGCTTAAGATACAAATTTTTTGTCACAATCTTAATTAGGATTTGCCTTCCCATCATCTGTAAGGGTAAGGTGTGTTATATATGCAAAGTGTGTATGACTTGCTTTCCTTTGTAGAACATTACAAGAAAATAATTTGATAGCTAAATGTCTAATCCAAGTCAACGGGGTCTAATATTTGTTGGATATTCTTTTGTGTTCTGCGTAAGTCAGTCATGTGAGGGAAAGTAAATGATGACAGAATTTTCATTTTTGGGTGGACTGTCCCTTTAAGAGTTCCCAGTCCACACAGTAAATTGACAATGACCAACTTTAATTGGCTCTAAAGTGATCATGTGGCTACAAGATGCTCAGTGTGTCCATCCACAGTTTATCTAATCCCATTTACTGCTAAAGAATGTGTGGGGACAATACATGTCTTTAACTTCTTCTGGGTCAAGGATTTCTAGAACAAGACTGTGGGGCCAAAGTGACCACCAAACCAATTGAGAAAGAGAAAGCAGAATGTGTAGATAGAGGAAAAAGAGGAAGAATAGAACAAACACAAAAGAGAGCAGAAGGGATATCAGTCTCGCAGACGTTTCAAAGCATATTGCAGTCTGTCCTACTGCAGCCAACTGGGAAAAGAGTAATCAGTCCTTTAGACTCCCACAGACCTATTACTTTAGAATGGATGGAAATTTTGACATTATAGTGTACACATTATATTCCACTAATGTCTTCGGTGTTGTGTGTACATCGTCTCAAATAGGCTGCTGTGTCATTATTTAAAAAGCTTACCAATTTGTTGCATGCCAGTCTTCTATTTTGGTACTACTGATTTTAGATTGACTCACCCTTATGCATCGCATAAAAAGAAACAGTGGTTGGTCATTTCACATATCGGTCAGTTTGTTCCTGTCTAAGTGAGCCATGATTTACTGCTAAAGAATGTGTGGGGACAATACATGTCTTTAACTTCTTCTGGGTCAAGGATTTCTAGAACAAGACTGTGGGGCCAAAGTGACCACCAAACCAATTGAGAAAGAGAAAGCAGAATGTGTAGATAGAGGAAAAAGAGGAAGAATAGAACAAACACAAAAGAGAGCAGAAGGGATATCAGTCTCGCAGACGTTTCAAAGCATATTGCAGTCTGTCCTACTGCAGCCAACTGGGAAAAGAGTTTTTAGACTCCCACAGACCTATTACTTTAGAATGGATGGAAATTTTGACATTATAGTGTACACATTATATTCCACTAATGTCTTCGGTGTTGTGTGTACATCGTCTCAAATAGGCTGCTGTGTCATTATTATTTAAAAAGCTTACCAATTTGTTGCATGCCAGTATTACTGATTTTAGATTGACTCACCCTTATGCATCGCATAAAAAGAAACAGTGGTTGGTCATTTCACATATCGGTCAGTTTGTTCCTGTCTAAGTGAGCCATTCTGTAAGTCAAATAGATGTTTTGGTCTCTGTGTGTGAATAAAACGCTGAAAGTTTCATGGGGGTACCATGATTATCTTAATGGTATTACCTTCTGGTACGATCATGTTACCATCACAATACTTTTAATAGAATGAAAAAAATAATAATATCTGTGTTTTTCCCCTTGGCAGCATCCTGAAAGATTTTAACGCGTGTCAGTGTCATGGCTGTCACTGTCGACGAGAGCCAAAGTGCTCCCCCTTCAGCAGCCTCCTCAACACAAACAACTGGACAGTCACATACGCTCCAGATCCACAGAATGTTTACTGGTAACATCATTATGTTCCTAGTCTCGGAGCTAGACTTCAGGCATAAACCGGAATCCACTTCGCTGTTTATACTGGCCAAGAAATACCCACTTAGACAGGAAGAGACTGACCACAGATCATCAGTGATACCACAATATAATGGATACTAGTATTGTTATTTATATGATTGACTAAGACTTGGCATTTTTTTATGCAATATGCATTAGATTGCACAGATCTGTGGGCTGTTTTTTGTAGAAAATCGTTAAGTCAGATTTATGTATACTGAGCTTTTCATAATGCACATTGTTTTGAAATAGATTAGATTTACAGAAATCATGATGTTAATGTTTATAATATCTTCATGCCTTACAGTCGCATTTAGCAGATTAGAGCCATGCGATAATATAGTTTACATTTTGTGATGAAACAAACAATCAAGCAGTTAATATAGTACCGTATTGGACCACGGTTAGTATTACCGTTTCATCTTTTAATTATCATTAAAACCATATTAGATAACCACGATTTGAACAACTCGCGATAAATAAGTACTGTCCAGCATAAAGCACATTTTTCAGTAACAGTCTCTATGTAAGTTTTTGACTCCACTAAAGCATAAAAATACCATAATATATTTGCAGATATTTAGTTAACATACTTGTTTATCGGAATGTCGGTCTCTGTTTTGGTTTGTGAAACCCGCCTAGGCGGAAAAGCTGGGAGGTTTTAAAAGAGTGCTAAGGGAATTATACAATTGAATATATGAATTAATTAATTATATGAATGTACCTCTGAAGATTCTTACTGTCTTCAGAAAAGAATCGATGGCATTTTGTTTTCATCTTCGCTCCATGTAATACCTAAAGGAAGTGTTCTTAATCGCAATACTGCTTTGTCCACGGAGGTTACCGGAAACAGCTTTTCCATAAGCGCCACCTGCTGTCAGAGAGTGGATTTACTGAGACTTATATTTACGTTCAGTCTGTGTGCAGTTTCTGTCTGGCCAAACAACGGACCGAGTTTGTATGCCCTGCTGTAAATTTTGACCGGTTTATGAAAAACAAGCTTAAGTGAATTCTACACATTTAAACAATTCAGTTTAACAATTCACAATAAGTTATCTAGAATTCTTTATGGAGCTGATACAATACATACTAGTGATTATGCAAACAAAAAGTCATTTTATTTGTTGTTTGTTGATTTTTAAATATAAAACTTGAGGTATTTTTTGTCGGTACTTTTTTTAACATCTCCAGCACATTTTAACAATACTGTGATAACAATTTGAGTTGAATTACTGAAATAAATTAACTTTTCCACGACATTCTAATTTGATATATATATATATATATATATATATATATAGGACCACAAAACCAGTCATAAGGGTCAATTTTTCAAAATGTCATCATCTGAACGCTGGATAAATAAGCTTTTCATTGATTTATGGTTTGTTAGGATAGGACAATATTTGGCCGAGATACAAGATTGTCCAAGTGAAGTTCTTAGCAATGCATATTACTTATCAAAAATTAAGTTTAGATATATTTACAGTAGGAAATGTACAAAATATCTTCATGCAACATGATCTTTACTTAATGTCTGACTGATTTTTGGCATAAAAGAAAAATCAATAATTTTGACCCATACAATGTATTTTGGGCTATTGCTACAAATATACCCCAGCGACTTAAGACTGCTTTTGTGCTCCAGGGTCACATATATATATATAAATATAAATATTGTTTCATTTGCTCCATGCCAAAGACATGATCTGGGTAGAACAGCTATTGTTACTAGGTACTGCAAAAATCAACACTAGTTAAGAAATAAATCTGGACATAGTAGCCACTTTACTGCTTGTCATTAAATGAACATAAATGCACAGATGGTAGTGGAAAGTTCTACTGGTGATCTACTGAAAGTGTGCAAATTAAAGAACACGGACCGATAATAACGCTGATATTTGATGCATAGAACTAGTATCTGGGTAAGGTTGAAAATGCTTATAGTTATATAAATCACGAGTTGTACCTTGTTCTCCACAGGGAGCATTTGTCCACTGGTGGCCTCAACTGGTGGCTCCGCTGCTTTGTCATCAACTGCTTTCTCTTCATCTTGCTCTTCTTCCTCACCACCCCTGCCATCATCATCTCTACCATGGACAAGTTCAACGTCACCAAACCCGTGGAGTACCTGAATGTAAGAAGTCTGTTAAACTGAGTGTTAATGAGCATCACAGTGCAGTGTGATTATTGGGTCATGATTCTGTCACTCATCTTCCCCCTGTGTCTGTTCCTCCAGAACCCCATCATCACTCAGTTCTTCCCCACCCTGCTGTTGTGGTGCTTCTCGGCTCTTCTCCCCACCATCGTCTACTACTCCGCCTTCTTTGAGGCCCACTGGACACGGTACAATGACAAACCCTGTATATCGATGTCTTTTTTAATTTTTTACACACAAACCTGGTGGTCCCAAGCTTAAAATATGCATGACTTTTCCGTTTAGATCTGGAGAGAACAGAACCACCATGCACAAATGCTACACCTTCCTCATCTTTATGGTTCTGCTGCTGCCATCTCTGGGACTGAGCAGGTATTTTAGGTTTTGCATCTGGACTATTTATATGGTGCATTTTAAATTTAAAAGGGGTTAAGAGGGATGGTTTATCAAGTAGTATTTTCCTGAATAAACAACCTTTTAACAAAAGGCTGAAAAATACCTACCATTAAGTTGTTATTATTAGTAAGATTTGTATATTTTAATTTGAAATGTCATTTGTATCACAAATATTGAATTTCTTGTGTATTTTCATGCCATTATATAGAAATGGAAAACATCTAAACTTTCTATCCAGGTTGTGTTTGCCATGTTGCCTGTTTCTCATTTGCATTAAACATTTCACACAATCTTTTCCAAAATGCAGTTTGGATGTTTTCTTCCGCTGGCTCTTTGACAAGAAATTCCTCGACGAGGCAAAAGTCCGATTCGAGTAAGTCCATGAGAGGATTTGCAGCTCTAAAATCCTGTGTTACAGTGGCTATCGAGAGAGTTAAATAATAATTATGAGGTCAAGGTGTTTACAAAACATTTGGTTTATGCATATTTTCAAGATTGTAGATAATATGGCCTGATTCCGTTTTCGTCTCTATTAGGTGTGTCTTCCTTCCAGATAATGGAGCTTTCTTTGTGAACTATGTCATCGCGTCTGCCTTCATTGGTAATGCCATGGAACTGTTACGCATTCCTTATTTCCTTATGTACATGATCCGGCTGTGTCTGGCACGTTCAGCTGCCGAGAGGCGCAACGTGAAGAAGGTCTGTGTAGTTTCAAGTACAGCAGTCATTACACTCACCCTTACTGTTATGCTCAGTAACTCATATACTCATGTTGTAATTCATGCATGGTTCCATGTTGTTACAGCATCAAGCTTATGAGTTCCAGTTTGGAGCTGCTTACGCCTGGATGATGAATGTCTTTACTGTGGTCATGACCTACAGCATCACCTGTCCAATTATCGTACCATTTGGTGAGTGGCATTTCTCACTGAAGAACTATAAAGAATTCTTGCATTGTGGTGGCACGCTTAACATAAGCTGATTTGAATTTTGTCTGCAGGACTGATGTACATGCTACTGAAGCACCTGGTGGACAGGTATAACATGTATTATGCCTACCTGCCCTCCAAACTGGATAAGAAAATCCACTCTGGAGCTGTCAACCAGGTGGTGGCAGCACCCATCCTCTGCCTTTTCTGGCTGCTCTTCTTCTCTACTGTCCGTACAGGTAAGACAACGCCAGATAGTGGGTCTGTTCTAAACCCTAGCGATCTGTCTGCCTACGCTGCATTTCAGGCACACTCTGGACGCAATGATAGTTCCAAACCGTAGGCAGCAAGGTGGCTCACTTGCACTTGAACAGTATTGTGGCCAAGGTTGAGAACCAGTGCTCTAGATGTAAAAGATTATTGTCATATCTCTAATATGATTTTTCTCCCCTGCTCTCCTTTCTCTTGATTTCCTCTTTTAAAATTTAAAGGTTTTGTTGCTCCAACATCAATGTTTACCTTTGTGGTTCTGATCATCACCATCATCATTTGCCTTTCCCACGTCGTCTTCGGTCATTTCAAATACCTCAGTGCGCACAATTACAAGGTCAGAAACAGCTCTGTCTGTTTGATTGTTTGTTTCTTTGTAAATAAACCAAGTCTAGAACTTTCTCTAAACCTCAGTGTGATTTATTTTTTATTCCTGAATTCTCTGCAGATCGACATGGACGGTGTGGACAATGGACGACCACCGGATTCATCTCCACCTGTCAAGTCTGTGGTAAGTTTTAATAATCATGTCAGAGTCTTGCACATCATGATGAGCAAGAAAGCTTTCTTTTTTAAACCCCTAGTTTTTATTTAGTAGTTACTAATCTGGCTTCAACAAAAATTGGACATTGTCACATCTGATTTTTTTTTCCACTTTACATCTTCCACCTTTTTTCTATATCAGCAGACGTACGTCGCCCAAGTGCTACAGGACCCAAACACAGACGAGACAGGAAGTGGCGAGGACGAGGGGCAGGGGTCGTCGCAGGATGAGGAGGTGGTAAACGAGGGTGATTTCCAATCAGGAGAGGACAGCCTTATTGAGAACGAGGTGCACCAGTGACACAGGCAGGGCCACGCCAGGTGCTAAACTTAGAGAAACTAGCAGGACTTCAACATGCACTGCACCTCACCACACTTACTGAGCTTGTGAATCCATCACAGCTGACAGCTATAACACTCATTTATCATTGAGGCTTGGAGACAGGATGGCCAATTGACAAGAATATAGATGGCTTGTGATTGTACTCCAACTATTAGAAACTGAGTTTCATAATTCTTCTTTACATTGGTTACCCTGTTCGCATGACGTTTCTTGCCGTTACAAGCGCATGTCTAGTAAACAAAAATTTGAATTGACCTATGTTATGATGAAGTAAAACCGCTATAGCGCTATCTCAGGTGGGCAGGAAAATTGTATATTAGGGTGGATATCACAAAGACGCATAAAGGTCAGATTTCACTTCCAAATCTTTTGCATAAAGAAAATATTGAAAAATTTCTTAGGAAATGAGTTACATAGGATAATGGTCAACTAAACAGTTTGGTGAGAGTTCAAACAAAAATAGATATCTATGAATTAACCAATCAGAATCAAGTATTTCAGACAGCCATGTGATCATTTACAATCTTTGTGGTTACCCTGTTCGCATGACGTTTCTTGCCGTTACAAGCGCATGTCTAGTAAACAAAAATTTGAATTGACCTATGTTATGATGAAGTAAAACCGCTATAGCGCTATCTCAGGTGGGCAGGAAAATTGTATATTAGGGTGGATATCACAAAGACGCATAAAGGTCAGATTTCACCTCCAAATCTTTTGCATAAAGAAAATATAGAAACATTTCTTAGGAAATGAGTTACATAGGATAATGGTCAACTAAACAGTTTGGTGAGAGTTCAAACAAAAAAAGAATCTATGAATTAACCAATCAGAATCAAGTATTTCAGACAGCCATGTGATCATTTACAATCTTTTTTTTTTGTTTTTGTTTTTTTTAGAGCTTTAGCAACACCCCACGTTAACCATCTGTAGTACACAGAAATACTATCACAGATAGTTTATCAAATTTTGTAAGAAATCATACATATTAGAAATGCTTGTGGAATAAACATCAGTTATAATGACAGACAGTTAATCAGAATGTTTCTGAAAGTTTTGAGTTTAGAAACCAAATGTTATTTTCTTCGCCCCAACTGAAATGACACTATAGCGCAATACTTTTGGAGATGAGCACCAAAGCGAGTGTACTGTATTTAACATAGACTATTACTAGTCCCTCTTGTTGGAAAACACAGGATCGAAAAACTCACTCCAGCCTGCTGAATTAACCGATTGTGAGGAAAACAGCCGCCGAACACTAATTGTCTAATCATATACTTGAACTGGAAAAGCCACTTTTAGACTGTCTGACAGACTCAAAGCAAATCCCCATCCCTGGAACTATTCTCTTACGTCCACCCTTACATCTTCTGCACATCCAGTGTTTAAATGTAAACTTACGCATTGCTAAAGCATGCTTGCGCCATGCGTAGTATGACGCTACTTTCTGCATCAGGCATCAGATGGACCCATTTTAAATTGTGTTGCTCTACTGTGGAATGTTCTGTCAATAACTGATACCGTAGCAAAAAGAAGAGCAAATTCCCTATGTGGACTTAAACGTGGAATTTGTGAATGTGAATATATTTTTCTTTTTTGTTATGCATGGGTATGAAATAATAGTTTCATCAGGTTTTGTTGACTTAAATTTTGTTTCTTTTTATTGCCACTAACAAGTGATGTACACAATACCATTTTTGATCACTTAAGTGCATGGGAAACATCATCAGAAATCACTGAACATCCTAAAAATTTGGTTAATGATGATAGCCAGATCTCATTGGGTCATATCAACATGTGTCCTAAATAAGACCTTCTTTATTGCAATAGTGGTGTGTTCCTTTGCGATTTTACAAGTGAACTGGAAATAACAGACTCCGTTCCATGGTTCTTCTTACCTGTGTGCATTTACAAGCTTTTCGCTGACACTCTTGCAGTTGTGAGCTTATTTGACTGGGTTCATGCATCATTTAGTGGTTGAAGTCTGAAAAAATAAAATAAAAGAACACACAAAAACTAGTACATTGACCACCATTTATTAACCACCGTTTTTTTTTTTTTTTTAACAACTACACTCTTTATATCTGGTTTGTCACCATGTTCAGACATTTTTGCCACTGTGTCCATTATATACATATTGCATTTATGCTCTCTGGGCATTGCTGAAAATGCAAGTCAGAACTGGAAACAAAATATTTTTTCCCTCTCAAAATAAGCAGACAAAGGCTGTGCCTAAGTACTTGCTTTTTTTTTTCTTTGTCCAGCCTCTAATTGGTTGACCTTTCCTGCTAGTGGACCTAAATAGTTCTCATTGTGTCGTTTATTGTTTACAGAAATAGCAATGCAGTGTTTTTAACTGTCATTTTCTGCAACAAATGTTAACTTGAAACAGTTGTCGGGTGTATGTAAACTTGTGAAATTAGAACATTAGTGATATTTTTAGTTAATTTATGTAAATCACACTAATCTACCAATCTATCAATGAGGAGCTTTGTAACTGTTAAATGCAAATAACACTGTAGGCTATGCACTTCATGTGGAATATGTAACATTACCATGGTGTATGTATCAATATCAAGCCATTTTTGTCAGTGATCTCATTTGGATAACATTGAGTAACTGCAGTGCTTTGTCGGTCTGATGCTCTTGCTGCTTAGATACTGTAGGTGATGACCATATGACTGCATCCTGGATCTATTTAAGGAAAAACACTGTCCTCAAGCATGATGCGGCAATAATTTATTTATGCATCTTTATAGGCTTTTCCCATTTGTTACAGATGCTGTCCACAATATTTATTTCTTTTGTCTATTACTTTTCCTTCTTTTGAATTAACCGGCCATTGGCCTGGAGTGAAGTGGTTAAATCAGTGTAATATTTTTGTAAATAGAAGCATTGCACTGCTCTTGGAACACTAAACTATATTTACATTTGTACAGCTTAGCCAGCAAAACCATGCACAGTCAACCATGAATTGTTTGCTTTTGTCCATTCAGATTTCCCTTAAGATCGTACTTAGGCTTGCGATTGCTGTTTTTAATAGTTTTGTATCTCAACCTTCCCTCAAATGATCTTTTGTACAGTGTCATCCTCAAACTCTTCCATGTCTTTGAACAATAAAATAGACTGACAAAACCATATAAAGCGTGGAGAAATTCTTCAATATCACACTGTGGACCCATGTCGTTTATAAATGCTACAAAGAAATGCACTAATCGTGTTTCACTTTGATGAAGTCTTAAGGGCTCGGTTTTATTCTGTTCTAGTCAAAAATTCTGTCATTGATTGAATTCTTTGCGAAGAAAAACTCATTTTGGCACATTTTTGCCCATTGTGTATTTCCAAATCTCAACAAATATATCTACTTCCAAATAGGTTTAAAAAATGTATAATGTGCCCAATATGCAGATGTCCAATTTTCATGATTTTTTTCAGTAATATGGTTTTAAAACACTCTTTCCCTCCTATAAGGAAACAACTACACTCTTTATATCTGGTTTGTCACCATGTTCAGACATTTTTGCCACTGTGTCCATTATATACATATTGCATTTATGCTCTCTGTGCATTGCTGAAAATGCAAGTCAGAACTGGAAACAAAATATTTTTTCCCTCTCAAAATAAGCAGACAAAGGCTGTGCCTAAGTACTTGCTTTTTTTTTTCTTTGTCCAGCCTCTAATTGGTTGACCTTTCCTGCTAGTGGACCTAAATAGTTCTCATTGTGTCGTTTATTGTTTACAGAAATAGCAATGCAGTGTTTTTAACTGTCATTTTCTGCAACAAATGTTAACTTGAAACAGTTGTCGGGTGTATGTAAACTTGTGAAATTAGAACATTAGTGATATTTTTAGTTAATTTATGTAAATCACACTAATCTACCAATCTATCACTGAGGAGCTTGTAACTTTTAAATGCAAATAACACTAGGCTATGCACTTCATGTGGAATATGTAACATTATCATGGTGTATGTACCCATATCAAGCCATTTTTGTCAGTGATCTTGTTTGGACAACACTGAGTAACTGCAGTGCTTTGTACGTCTGATGCTCTTGCTGCTTAGATACTGTAGGTGATGACCATATGACTGCATCCTGGATCTATTTAAGGAAAAACACTGTCCACAAGCATGATGCGGCAATAATTTATTTATGCATCTTTATAGGCTTTTCCCATTTGTTACAGATGCTGTCCACAATATTTATTTCTTTTGTCTATTACTTTTCCTTCTTTTGAATTAACCGGCCATTGGCCTGGAGTGAAGTGGTTAAATCAGTGTAATATTTTTGTAAATAGAAGCATTGCACTGCTCTTGGAACACTAAACTATATTTACATTTGTACAGCTTAGCCAGCAAAACCATGCACAGTCAACCATGAATTGTTTGCTTTTGTCCATTCAGATTTCCCTTAAGATCGTACTTAGGCTTGCGATTGCTGTTTTTAATAGTTTTGTATCTCAACCTTCCCTCAAATGATCTTTTGTACAGTGTCATCCTCAAACTCTTCCATGTCTTTGAACAATAAAATAGACTGACAAAACCATATAAAGCGTGGAGAAATTCTTCAATATCACACTGTGGACCCATGTCGTTTATAAAAGCTACAAAGAAATGCACTAATCGTGTTTCACTTTGATGAAGTCTTAAGGGCTCGGTTTTATTCTGTTCTAGTCAAAAATTCTGTCATTGATTTGAATTCTTTGCGAAGAAAAACTCATTTTGGCACATTTTTGCACATTGTGTATTTCCAAGTAGTCAGAAATCCAAGTGTTGATCTCAACAAATATATCTACTTCCAAATAGGTTTAAAAAATGTATAATGTGCCCAATATGCAGATGTCCAATTTTCATGATTTTTTTCAGTAATATGGTTTTAAAACACTCTTTCCCTCCTATAAGGAGTCGTGATGTCATTTTATGGCAGCTTTCTTCTTTGCCAAGAAATAGTGAGTGCAATCTTTGACCTCTCACGGTCTTGTTGTGGTGGAGTCTTGTGATATGTCTTGTGAAGGGAAAAAAAAAACAGTTATAAGCTATCATGTTTTCTCTGATATCCGATTCACTAATGAATCTTTCTATTGAACCGATTCTTTGCAATGGTTCGGTCAAAACATTCGACTGCATTTGGCGTCTGCAAAAAGTTTACAAATGTCTACCAATAATATTACCTAGAGAAAGAGATCATGGATGTCTTTCTATATTCTTTAACAGTAATTAATTCAACGCTTTAAATACAAATTTTCTGTATGAATCTAATAACAGGCATTAACCGCGCTCCTGTCGTATTATATTTTACAATCACATAACGTTGCACATTAAATTCACATTACGTTTATAACTTAGACTTAAATATCCTTATGACAATATTATTAGTGAATATGTATTTCATCACCGTCTTACCTCAAGACACGGTGTGCGCGTGATCTAACGTTCGACAAGAACGGCTTTCACATGATTGAGAAATTTAAAAAGGGTCTAACAACATTCACAAAAATTAAATAATATATGACTATTCACAATTTACTT